ATTGTGGAGAGAGGCTGTGTTAGGAGACCAGGAACATGCAAGGGCACCAACCTACCGAGAGCCCCGGGAAGGGATTTCAGGCTGTAGGAACTGCAGACTTACCTGTGGCTACAGCCGGGAACTGGCGGCTGCAGGGGTGGTCAGGGAGGTAAAGCAGGGACCAAGTGCTGCTGGTCTTTCTACGCCTGGGAAAGATTTTAGATTTCAAGTGTGATAGGAAATCTTGGGAGGTCTTTAGGCAACATAGTGACCTAATCCAATTCTACATTCGAAAAAGTAGCTCTGAGAATTATTTGAAGAATAGACTAGTGAGGCAATAGCATAGCTGAGAATATTTCCAGTAGTATAGGAAAGATGATTGTATCTTGAACGACATTGGTGACCAGTGACTATCTCGAATCTTCGGTAGTTCACATAAGTTCATTTAAGAACTATTGTAAAGTGTCTGGTATGCGCCATGAATTTGTGTAGGCTCTGGGTTCTCCTGCCCTCAAAAAATGTAGATTGCCTGGCTGGGTGACTCACCTCTGTAAACCCAACTGGAGAGGCTGATGTGGGACGATTGCTTTAGCTTAGGAGTTCTAGGCTGGAGTGAGCACTTATGGTGCCTCTGAACTCCAGCCTCGGTGACTGAGCAAGAACTTGCCTCTGAAAAAATATTTTTTAATTATAAAAATAAAAACGTAGGTCCTGTAGTTTCTCTCTTGCCCTTGGTAATGAATTCTTTGAGATTTTTTGAAATGCAAAGTACCAACCACTAGGGGGCCTGTTATAATAGCACTTAGTAAATACTGGTTTCTTTAAAATCATTGTTTATTGTTGAAAAGTTAGGCACCTCTTTAGTTTGCTCTTATAATATTTATGAAACATGGCAACTTTACTTAAACTCCAGAAAAGCAGAGTCTGTGTCTGTCTTTGTCAGCTGATGTATTCCTAGCTCCTAGCACAAGGTGAAATGTTTGGCATGCATTTAGTGCTCGAAGAATATTTGGTAAATGGATGAGTTAATAAATGACTCATATTCACTTTCAAATAAATACACAGATAGATATAATAGAAATTATCTTTAGATACACAATCTAGGACTTTCATGTATGTTTAGCCTTGTTCTTATACAATAGGAGAATTAAATTGTCTTACATATTCTAATAATGGTAATTGGATTAACTGATATTTACTGTACACCCTGCAGTGTGCTAAGTGTTTTCCTATATACTTTCTCTTTCAAACTTTCCATCAGCCTTTCAAGATGGGTTCTGTTATTTCCCATTTGTGGAATTATAACTTGAAGAGTTAATTTTCCAGGGACACAGCTTGTAATGGAAGATTCAAACCTGGATCGTCTGACTCCAGAGTCTGAGCTCTTCACCGCCTTGATAAAAGTCTCCTCTGAATTATGTAGCAATTAATTACCAAGTCCATTTATTGTTCAAATCAATGGTACCAATTCATTTCTTGTTTTTGTTAGTTGTTTTTACTGTCTTTCTCCCTTTAAGAATGTAAGAGTTTTGTTCATTGCTGTATCCCTACTGCCAAGAATGATGCCTGGTCAGTTTAGGTAGCTAATTAGGTAACCTGGCAGGGGAATGAATTTATAACAAAATTTACTTGTTCTCTTAATTTAGGGATAAAAGGCTAACCTCTTTGGGGAAAACCTTACACCCAATTTTGTGTCTGTCCAACAACAATGTAGTCTAGACTAGATTGTTCATCATTGAAATGACTCTGGCCTTTCAAATTTTTTTATGCAAAATCTTTAATTGTATAAATGATCAGTTGCCTCTGGTATTAAAAAGAGTGAATTTTTATAGTTTGTGCTTGTTAGGAATCTTCATTTTTGTTTCTGTGAAGATGGGCATTTTTTTCCAACACTATATGAGGTCCATTGTTTGTGTCAGAGAAGAGAATTAGAATCCTTTGACCAGCTTTATCTCTTACTAGGGAATTGTTAGTTATTATGGACATTATAATTTTAGAGTTAAATATGGAGTTAGCGTTCAAATTCCAGTTCTACTACTTCCAGTTCTGTGATTTGAAAGAAGTTCATTTATTTATTCAGTCAACAAACACCAAGAGTTAGCTCTATGTGCCTGGTGGTTTTCTAAGAGTTAGGGAAATAGTAGTAAATAAAACAAAAATCTATATCTTTACCTTGCCTCCATTCTTCTTCATTCTTGATTTCTCCACCTAGATGGAGGTGATAGACAAAAATATTTTTTAAGTGCTACAAAGAAAAATAAAATAGATACAGCAGGACTACACAGAGGAGGTAGAAAAGGAAAGTATGTTTTTAATCTTAAATAGGTTCTTCTGCCAAGACTCTTCATTGTAACTCTGGAAAAAAGGTCTAAGTAACCAAGTTGATTTCAAAACATTTACTACTCTGAACTTTTGTTATCCACATGTGCTATAGACAAAACACTGTCTCATAGATGAATCATAAATTGTAACAAATTAGCTTTATTCATATTCAATTATTATCTGAAACACTCCTGAATTGTTTATTTTTTTCTATTTTTATACTTAATTTTATTTTTATAAATAACATAATTCAATGTGAACATGCTTTTGGAATGATTAAATGTTCTTTATACATTCAATGTAATATTAATTTGTGATATTAATAATAAGGACACACATGTCAATTTCTTGTTAATTTTATCTTTTTCTATGAGTGCAGCCTGCATGTTTAAGTAACATATTTTTTTCATTTCATAAAAACCTGTAAATTACACAAGAAGAGCTTAAGGAAAAAGTTTACTAGCACCTAATTAGATGACATAAATTTCTTTTAAAAGAATATATACTCCATTTTCATCCCTTGGTAGCTTATACGATTATGTATGAATTCAAAACATTTATAAAACTTAACCCATCCCATCTTTAATTTCCAAAGATTAGTAAGACTAACTTTTGGTTAAACTGTATTAAACAATTATCCAAGATTGAAGCCAAAAGTTAATTGTTATGGCAGCAAAGCCTTAAAATGTTTAACTAAATTTAATAACAATAAATTTCCATTTTAGAAAACAAATTCAGTTCAGCCTAACCAACACTTATTGGGCATAATGCTATGTGTAGTTTTACCAATAAAGAAAAACTCAGTTGTGACGCTATTGCAGTAGCACTGGTGAGGTTAATGGGGTTTCAACTACAGCAGTGATGGGGGAGAGAGGTTCCAAAGGGAAGACACTTTTACATCAGGATTGATGGTGGCTGGGTATGTGGATTGAGGGCACAAGAGGCGTTTAAGATAATGTAAAGGGCATTGGGTGAGGGATAGGTTATCAGATGTGCTGGAAAATAGAAGGGAGAGTTTCTTGAAGTGCGAGTTCAGTTTTTAACCTTTTGCACTGAAGACATCTGTGGGACATTCATGTAGAACTGAGTACAAAATATTTCTCTATCCTTGTGAAGATTATTACTAAGAGGGAATCTTGATTTCTTCTTTAGTTACTGGGTCACAGAACAGATAGGGCTTTGTGATAATGACAGTAGTGACACTTCCCCTAAACCCTGCAACACAGTTACATCACAAAATTTAGCACATATACTTGCATTTTATCCTATATTACATTCTGAATATTTGAAGCCACTCTTGTTTCATCCTGAGATTGTAAACATTTGAGCTGAGATGAAAGTTTATGCCTAACAGGTCCAGCAGCGCTGTTGAAGTCAGACTCAGGACACTCCATTCCCTGTACAGTAGTAAATGTCCTGAAGGATCGCTGCCGTTCATTCATTCATTCCTGCTCTGTGCAGTGTTGTTGCTTTACAACTTGGCATGAGCAGTAGGGTTCTTTTATTTCTAGCAACAGACCACAATAAAATCTTTAAAAATATTATATTCCCTTCTTAAAGACTTATTATTTTACATGTTCCTTTTTAATTTCTTGAAACTTTAAGATTACTTCTAGTGGCAAGGGTGTTAGTTGTTGAGGGAAGTGAAGAAAGTGGCAGAATTGAGAAGATGAAGTGAGTGTGAAGTGGCTGAAGCTGCTGTTGTATTAAGTGTGGATCTCTGCCCCAGGGAATTCTCGCCAGACTTGGTTCTGACAGTCAAGTCTCTTTTTTTTTTAAATTTATCCTTTCCTTTATTTTTTAAATTTGTTTATTAGATTATAACTGTGTGCATTACTGTGTTTATAGGGTACAGTGTGCTGATTTTATATACAATTTGGAATGCTTACATCAAACTGGTTAACATAGACTTCACCTCACTTATTTAATTGTTGTGTTAAGACATTTGTACTCT